CAGCCAAGGCTCAAAGCTACACTCTTGGAGAACTGGTGAGGAATAGGACACAGTCTGCCCCTAGGACTGGAGGATCAAGGTGACACCTTACCATACGGCAAGCCAGAGTGGACCTCTCTGAAGACCTAGGCAGTTTCAAGAAGAGAAGAAATAATGTCTGGAGAGTTGGTTGGGAGTGAGGAACAAAAATAACTAACATTCCTGAGCACTTTCTATGTGCCAAGCACTGTGCCAGGTGCTCAGTGTTAATTAATTGAATCTTTGTAGCTCAGCAACTCAACAAGTTGGGTAATTATCTCCATTTCACAGATCAGCAAACTGAGGCCAGGTGTGCTGACGTGCCCACAGCCACATAGGTAAGTGATGGAGCCCCGAATATCCTGCCAGCTGCTCTGCTCTCCTTCTGAAGAAGGGGGCATTTGGAATCAACCCAGGGAATGGTCGATAGAAACAAGGAACTGGAGGACCAAGTGTTCCAGGCAGTAGGAACAGCCGCAGGAAATTACAGGTTGGTGTCTATTATTAATATGAAAGAATCTTAGAAGTCTGGTTTGGGAGTCTGTGCTTAACTTGGCGACTAATAGGTGCCTTTGCATATCAAATCATGTCTCCTTAGTAAATCGAAATGTGTTGGGTTTATCTAGAACCCAAGGTTTTTCTAAGAACATTTAACACATAAATATAGGAACAAAAGACTTACCTACCATGGTCAGACTGAAATCATCTAAGTTCAGTAACATAAATAAAGTGACAACCAAACATAAGCCATTTTATTTGTCATCAACAATTATGTCATCAACAGGTTAAAACAAAAACGCCACAGAAGGACAAAGGCAAACACATAATACTGAGAGTGAACAACAACCATCCCAGGCTTTCCAAAGCATATCGTTTACATGCACGGGCATTTTTTCATTTTAAAAGGGCATGTTTGCATGGGTTTTATTATCAGAGTAATACATGCTCATTGCAGAAAACTTGGAAAATGCAGAAAAGCACAAATATGTATCTGCCTCATTTATAACACTGACAGCTACCCTACACAGCTGTTGTTTCTCTCCTTCTAAAACACGCTCTCGTGTTTTTTATAATGTGGGAATCGTTCCCCTGATTAATTAGTCTATTTCACAGGCTTCTAGCCACCACACGGCTTAGCACAACTGGCCACACCTGTTAGATTCTCAGCCTTCTCCTTTGTCTCTTCCTCTCCTCCTCCCCTCCCTTTAAGACAGACCCATCTCAGAGCATCCTAAAGCAGGGACCACATTTTATGCACAGCTCTAGCCCCAGCACTTAGCATGGTAGCATTTGAACATTCCTTTTTCTTTCTTTCCATCCACTGTTCAGTATCTAATATTTAAAACTAAGAGATGTCAAAGCATTACCTTGAGGTTGGCATTCAAATTAACAGGCATCTTATGGGGAAGGGGAAACTTTAAATACACATGCATAAAAGTAACCTGTAGATCAGTTATAAGGAATGAAATGATAGCCCTCATTTGTCAAAATGGGCTCCTCTCAAAAAGGAGTAATAGCTTCCGGTGACTTTCTGACTTTTTTTCTCCCTCATCAACATTCCCTTACTGAGTACCCCCTGCGTACTTTTGAGGTCACATGGGAGATACAAAGACATACAAAATAGAGTCCTGCCTTCAGTGGCTCCAATCTAACAGGAAAAAAGACATATAAGTAAAAAAAACTTTCAGATGAGATAAGACATGTTAAGTGGCATAAGATTGCTAGAATGTTCTGGGAATTCAGAGATTCAAGTTCTCCCCTGGCTGAGGGGATCAGGCATTTGACCTAGGCCTTGGAGTCCAGATAAGACGTGCACGTGAAACATGTGCGCGTGTGCGTGCCAGTGCGTGTGGGTGTGGGCGTGGATGTGCATGGGTAGGTGGGTGGATCGGGGAGGGATTCAAAGCAGAAAGAACAGACTGAGCAAAGGTGAGGGAGTAGAATCCAAGGAGTGTCCAGGGAAGACAGAGGAGCAAAGAGCGTAACAGGAGGAAAGGCTGAAAAGGAAGGGTGTGACCTCGTGGGTCAGGAGCCCTGAATGGCAGGCTTGACTTTGGACTTTTTTCCCTCTACAATTTGAAATCATTTAGTCCTTAAGCAAATGATTCTTAATCATCTGATATGTGGTAGGCCCTGTGATAGGTATGGCAAGATACAAAAAGAAAAGGTATGGTCCCTTGTTCTTGTCACTAAATTTCATAATAATTTAAGTTTCTAGAATATAATTTAAACTCAAAGAGGATGTATTAAGAGCAAAACAAAATTGGCCAAAACAACAAAGTTAATGATAAGGGATCTTTTTTGGTTACTTATTGCTATGTGACAAACTATCCCAAAAGTTAATGACTTAAAACAACAATCATTTGATTCCTCGTGCATGATTCCACGATTAGGATGGTCTTGATTGGAGATGCCCATCTCTTTTCCACATGGTGTCAACTGGAGGAGCTTCAGCGACTGGGGTCTGTCTGGAAGGACCAATCTGGGTCATGCGTCTGGGCCTCTGACTTTGTTGTGGGCTAGGTTTCTCCATTCTCCCCCCCGACACACACATGGATCTCAGACATTCTCCTTTGTTTTGTTTGTTTGTTTGTTTTTTGAGACAGAGTCTCACTGTGCTGCCCCAGCTGGAGTACAGTGGTGTCACCATAGCTCACTGCAACCTCAAACTCCTGGGCTCAAGCAATCCTCCTGCCTCAGCCTCCCAAGAAGCTAAGGGCACGTGCCACCACACCCGTCCAATTTTTCTATTTTTAGTAGACGGGTCCCACTCTTGCTCAGGCTGGTCTCAAACTCCTGACCTCAAGTGAACCTCCTGCCTCTGCTTCCCGGAGTGCTAGGATTACAGGTGTGAGCCACTGCGCCCAGACTCTCCTTTGTTACTGGTATTTCACCTTCTTATGTGGCAGCTGGCATCCCCCAGAGTGCAAAAGAGGAAGCTTCCAGGGCTTCTAGAACTGGCACAGTACCACATCTGTCTCAATCTAATGGTTAAAGCAGGTCACAAGGCCAGCCTAGATTCAAAGGGAGGGAACTACACAAGGACAAGAGTATCAGGGGGCATGATTCATTAGGGCCACCAAAATAAGAGGCCACCACAGAATCTTAAAGTCGAATAATCCAACAGCATGTTCCATGATTTTAAGCCACTGAGGGACACTAACTGCACAGATTTTTCTACTCCAGAGCTGTGGTCCACAACCCCCAGGCCGCAGACCAGTACTGGTCCATGGCCTGTTAAGAACCGGCTGCACAGCAGAGGTGAGTGGCAGGCAAGTGAGCAAAGCTTCATCTGTATTCACAGCCGCTCCCATCGCTCTCATCACTGCCTGAGCTCCATCTCCCCTCCCTCCTTCCCCTGCCCCCGGTTCATGGAAAAGTTGTCTTCCATGAAACTGGTCCCTGGTGCCAAAAAGGTTGGGGACCGCTGCTCTAGAGCACGTAACCCTACCTGCCTCGCCCTATCCCTGCCTTTTTCAATGCCAGCAAAATTCATTCCTTTCTCATGCCACTCACTGATCACTTAAGGGAACTGCTCAGATTCTAAACCAACCTCACAACATAGTTTCAAACAGACCAACATCCCCGGAGGTGGGGTCTCACAGCTCAGAATCACCCATCTGCTCCTGAGCCTGTGTCCCTCCTAAGAGCTGCTGCTCCCAGACTCCCCAGCTTCAAAATAGGAAGGAAGAACCCCCATTCCTGCCTGGCGCCTGCCACGCCATCAGCCATCTCCCACATCCTTGTCTCCCCCAGGACAGTCCTCACTCCCCATCTGTGTTGCATGGCCCTGTCTCTGGGAGTTCAGCAGAAAATTGAGTTACTGGATCTCAGAATGCCGTGTGAGATCTCTCTGTGACTTCTGACCCTCTTGAGTTTTCTATCTTTGGTGATCTTTCTATTTCCAAGCCTGAACACAACGCTCTAGGCGTGGCCCGGATACCGAGTTTGGTGGTGGTATCAGCATTTCTATAGGAGCTTGGGAAGCAATCTGGTTGAAGGGAAGGTGGGAGGGACTAAGAGATTTTTCTGGAAACTTTTTATGGGTGATATGACCCCCCCCCAGATAACTAGGATTGGTCACCAAAAATATTGGCATAATAGCTAAGAAGTGATTAATAAAAAAATACACTTAGCTCACATAAGTTAAATTAATAAAAATGTATACTGAGTACACAAAAAAGCAAAAGTTAACTGGATTTAATAGACGAGCAGAAGCTGAGGAGTCATTTTTGTTTGTTTGCTTTATTTTGCTTTTTACATTTCTAACCATCCATCAATGATCCCATGAAGAGTCAGGGCTGCCTGGTTATTGAGAGTGAGCTCAAGACGTCCAACTGTAGGAATTTGAATTCTGGCTCCACCATTTACTAAGTTAGCTTGGGCAAGTTATCAACACTTAATTTCTCTGTACCTTGGTTTTCTCATCTATAAAATGAGGTTAATAAGGAGTACCTATCTCATAGGGTTGTGAGTATCAAATAATACGTTCAAAAAGCGCTTCAACAATGCCTGATAAATTGTAAACACTCTCAATAAATGTTACTCACTATTATTATTACTCCATAAATTACCTTCAGCCTCAGGATTTTCAGCACATGCTTTATAGATTTTTTTCTCTTTATTAATTTTTGTTTAGGATAACCTTGCAAGCAATGACTGTTTAAAATTACCAGAAACTAAAGATACCCCTGCAGTCACCTTCTTGGTATCTTGGCTAACTGTAAATAAGTCTTTGCAAGGGAAGGTCTCAATAGCAAATATTAATAGCAAAGTAACAATAGCAAATACATTTTAAAAAACTTAAGATAACAGTTATTTTCCTGAGCCTCAGAAATTAAATATTAAAAATAAAGGATAGGTGACAGAGATGATCTTAAAAAGGAAAAAGCTAAGACACAAGCAATGAATCTACAAACACTTGAAATGTTTTAAAGAAAATGTATACCTTCTCAGCAAATTTGTATGGGAAGAAAATGAGATAAGTGAAAGAGACTTAGAATCTTACTTTAGATATAATTATACAATTCCATGGGATTTGTTTTCCCATTGATTGCTCTCCTAACATCCCCTTTCGTAGTGCACTCACAAGAAGCAAGTGGAAGAGGTATCCAATGAGATAAAACAGGAACTCGAGGTCCCTGGCGATGTGCTCACATGGAACCACCTCCCTGCGGCTCCACGTTTACAGAATTTTATTTGCATAGAAGAACTGCAGGAGCTCTGGATGATAGTGGCTCTGAAAGAAATTAGCAGAGGTACATGTGAGGGAGGGACTCAGTGAACCCCGTTGACTATATAACCAGTAGTCCATTACCAATGCAGGTCATGAAGACAAGCAATTGGGAGAGGTGGTGGCCTTATCACCTGCCTTCCACTTATGACCAGAACTGGGCCTGCCAGTATATTTTGTGCACAATCCTCTGGGTGTTTTGCCATTTACCTTATATGATGGGCCAGTTATAATTGGCCTGACCCGTTTTATGGGGGGTAACTCCCTGGTGTGCTTGGCTGCCTTCTGTGTTAACCACCAGGAGGGCAGAGACCCTGAGAGAATTCTCTCTCCTGCCCTGGCTCACTCACCAGCTGCCGGCAGAGTTTAGGGTTCCTTTGATCATCTTCACTCTGGAAGCTGTATTCCTTCCTTAGTTTCAGATATGGAGAACAGGCTCGAAAAGTTGCTTTGCAAGCCTGAGGAAAAGAATATTATCATCTTATTGTCCAAAATATTAGAGAGTTCTAAAACCCCAAGCAAGGAAGACTGTCCCAGAGGACTGCACCCATCTGTGGTCAGGGAGCCACTAAGAGTGTGAACATAACTTCCAGGGAGTTTGAAAATTTGAATCTTAAAGGATGAGTACTTATAAAATGGCCTTATAATTTGGGGGCCGGTGGGAAGGGCATAGCTTCACAGCTGATCATAGGCCTTGCTATCCTCCCATCAAAAATAGTACTGGATTCCTAAATTTAATCTCTCTTTCTCTCTCTCTCACTTAAAGAAGACAAGTGGTTTTGGTAGAACCCTTTGCTCCCGATGGTTTTGAAACATTCACCCAGTCCCACTCCAAGGCAGGCCTGAAATTGATCCAACCCTGTTAGGACACATTTTCTCCAAGAATAAAACAGAAGTTCCATAGGGAATTAAGAAGCCGGGGTGGGAAATCTATGCCAGCACAGTGACAAAAGCTAATTGGGCATGAATCAATATCCTCATTTTGTGGGCTGCTGCGCCCTCATTAAACCTGTGCCTCTCTGGACCCCGCCCATCACCCCAAGCTTATCTAGCATTGACAGACCCTGGGCTTGGCCAGGCGGGGCAGAAGCAAATGGAAAACAACACTCTTGCCCAGAGAGAGAGTACGCGGAGGAGGCGCCTTGTCCAGGACTCACATGGATACCCTGCTAAGCATCCATAGCTGAGCATCTCAACTCAACAGGGCTGCATCCCAACTCCTTTTACGCATAGCATGGAGATTTCACACAGGAGGTCGGAGGGTCACGGTCTTACCTTAGCAACCCGGGGGTTTCTATCGTGTAAATGGATCAGGAGGGACTCTCGTGTCTGCTTAACCTGGCTGGTGAAAAATTTCTTCCATTTCTGCCCAGCAAAGGTAGCCAATTGCCCAAACAAAACAAAGGCCGAGTATCTCAGACTGTCGTTTTCCTGCAGGTCCCCATCAAAAACACAACAACAAAGCCAGGTCATTCCCCAAAGGCAACTACATCAGAACACATCACAGCTGTGGTTCTTGGTGGTATATCGCAGGGTACGCCGTCAGATCTGGTCTAAAGCACCCAGCTGGGTGGGTGGGGGACAGAGTCGAGGGGGCCAGAGTCTTCAGTGAACCTCTTCTCTGGCAGACAAGAGGATTAGCCCAGGGATCACTAGTGCTGCTCCCAGCTTCCCAGCTGTTTCATTCATTGTTTCATGTTTTGGAGATAGAATACATTTATATGATTCAAAACTCAAAAAAAAAAGTTTTATAGAAAAAAGTAAGTCTCCTTCTACTGTTCTTCATCTGCCACCAAATTTTCCTTCCCACGAGCTAACAAAGTTTTAAGTTTTATATGTAGCCCTCCAGAAAATGAAGAACAAAGAAAAACGTATTAATATATCACATAGTCCTTTCCCTCTTTTTTACATAAACAGAAGCACACCATGCCACTGTCGTTCTGCACCTTGATTTTTCCATCAATCTATCTAGGAGCTTTTCTGTGTCGATATATAAAGGAGTTTTCATTTTTCTTTCCTTTGTTTTCTTTTCTTTTCTACATCAAAATTTATGCAACCTGTTCCCTATTTATTATTCCCAGCATTTTTGCCAGGTCTCTTATCTTTACTTTTCTTCTGAGTTTCTCCCACCGGTAGTGGAAATAATAATTATGTTTCTTCCCCCGACACCCTCCCAATTCTCCCTGCTTTCAATCCGATTGGTTGGTTTGTCCCTGAGCACGTCAGTGTGCCTAGCCCTCTCTTTCTCTCCAAAGTGAGCTGTTTAGTCCAAGTATCCCCTTCCCAGGTAAGGAGACCGAGGCGCTATCAGATAGCAGAGAACCAGCAAAGTGACCCCGTCTGCTGACTCTTGGTGTACAGGTTTTTATATCAACGTTTTATGGTCCTACCCAGCTCCAAGTCCACCAAAGGGAACAGGGCTGGGCGGGCCTGCTCAGGGAGCAAGGAGCACCTAGAATTGGGGTTCACAGAAACTCAGCAAGACTGAGGACTACTAATCATTTTGTGAACTATTTTAAAATATTCTTTTAGCATATGTGACATATACAGAATTTGCCCAGGGTTGCATTTTCGTCACTGCTCTATCAGAGTGTGTGTGTGTGCGCGCGCGCGTGTGTGCGTGCGTGCGTGTGTGTGTGTGTGTGTGTATTCAATTAAACCAACATTTAGGGCTGGGTATGGTGGCTCATGCCTGCAATCCTAGCGCTTTGGGAGGCCAAGGCAGGAGGATCACTTGAGGCCAGGAGTTCGAGACCAGCCTGGGCAACTTAGCGAGCCCCCATCTCTACAAAAAATAAGAAAAATTAGCCAGGTGTGGGGGCACATGCCTGTAGTCCCAGCAACTCGGGAGGCTGAGGCAGGAGGATCACTCGAGCTTAGGAGTTTGAGGCTGCTGTGAGCTATAATTGCACCACCGCACTCCAGCTTTGGCAACAGAACAAGACCCTGTCTCTAAAAAAATAAAATTTTTTTAAAAAAACGTAACATTGATGGAAAACTTCCCCCATCCAAAGCCCTATCCTAATGTTATAAGATGTACGGAGATGTGCAAGCCAGGTTCCTGTCCCCCTAGGAGTCTGACAACCATCTAACGGGGAGCACATACACTGGTGAGCACAGCGTAGGGCACACAGTGATGAATACTATCTGTAAGAGATGCAACCTGTCGGCAAACAACTCTTCATAAGAGTTGTTGCTACATGAGCTTTCTGATCAAAAATCACAGTCAGCCTTGGTTTAAAGAACAGCTCAATGGCAAGCAAGTCCTGGACGTTCAGATGGCACCTCCAGAGAGATTTAGAGCCATCTCCCCTCAGACATTTGCTTGCATTCCAGGGTGGTGAGGTAGAGACTTTCCCCTCCCCTCCCCAGACAGGACTGCCTTACATTCAAGAGCAACAATGTCTCTGTGTCTCTATAAAGGGAGGAGCGACAATGTGCCAGCGGTTCCTATAAAAGCTCCATGCGTCATAATTTCAAGGCTTTTCTTCCTTCCCTGTGGTGCCGCCGGCACATCTGGCTGTCACCGTGTTGCTCCGTGGAGAACTAGGGTGTGGGAAGTCCCTCTGTGAGTAAAGACAGGTCTGCTCCCCGTTCTGGACGCCTTGTCTTTCAGAGAGGGAACACCGTGGCAGGCTAACTCGTTAGCTTGCAAGTCAAGTCTCTCAGGCTCCTGACGGTTTAAGACTGAACCAGGTACCAGCGCTCTTTCTGCCTAGCCCGTCTCGTCATCTGGTAGTTAAGAGCACAGGCCCCACAGTTGGGGGACCTGGTTTCGTGTCCACCTACGGGCTTTGTGAACCTTGGGCAAGTTCTAACCTCTCTGTGCTTTGATTTCCGCATCTATAAAGTGACGATAATTACAGTGCCTACTTCATGGGGTTATGATGAAGAGTGTATGAGAAAATCCATGCAAGTTGCCTACTACTGTGCCTGGCACACAGTAAGGGCTCGCTAAATGCTAAACGCTAAATGCTATTGCTACTGTTACATTTATAAGAGAGCGTTCACTACATGTTGGCATCGCCATCATCATCAGCGTACATATATTCACTTCTCTATTAAAATGAAAACTCCTTGACGGATAGTGATGGAATCCTATATATCTCTATATGTCCCCCGTAAACCCTGGCACAGTACCGGTCTCTCAGCAAGATTCATCAATAAATAAGTGAATTATTATTCTTATTGAGATCTTGTTCCCTGAACAACATGCCACCCAGGGCTCACATTTCTAACCCCACTTTGATTCCAATACCCCAGAGTGGCTCTGAGTATCTCACTTACGTCATCTAACAGTGTCCTGGTCTGAAGGGTGATGTCTATGAAGAAGGACCCGAAGCCTTTCCCCTGGGTCTTCCCCAGCATGATGGTCAGAGTCTTCACACTCTCGTGGATGACTTCAGAGCTCACAGGGTCATACAATCCACGCACCAGCAGATCTAGGACAAGTTTCTTATACTTTCTTACCTGTTGGCAAGGTTTGAAAAGCATTAGTAGCACAGGAACGGCTCCCCATGGGTTGAAAAGCAACTTCACTTTTAAACTACCGATAACCTGGGACCCGGACTAAGAGACCTTGGCTTGCTTTGGGATCCGTGCGACAGCTCTCATCCAAATACAAATGCTTCCACTAGCTCGACCCAAGCCCTCGGTCTTGGAAGGAGCCCAGGAAGAGCAGTCTGGAGTGTGGCCTTAGGGTGGGCGAGGCTGGCGAGGGCACTGCAAGGTGGATGGTGCACCTGGCTGGTCTAGGAGGCTGGGAAGTGGTAGGTGCTCTCATAGTGGGGAGGAGGAGAAACGGTCACTCAAGTTGGCAGATGCTAAAGGTGGAGGTGGAAACATCTTTTACTAAACAAACATAAATTACTAGAAAATCACTTAAAGTCACCAAGGAGTCCCACAGCTGACAACACTGAGGCACGATGACCCCGAATGAGCCACACCCTCATGCAAGGTCCTCCCTGTCAGTGTGCAAGGAGCCCGTGACTTGTGTCTAGCCTGTAGGACACCCCAAAGGTGATGGGTGTCGCTCCTGTGGTTACTTTACAGGAGACTCCATCTTAGCAGACAGGAGTAGGCGACACTCTCCTGCTGGCCCGAAGAAATGAGCGGCGGTGTTGAGAGAGGGTGGCCTCTAGGTGCTGAGACAGGGTCTCAGTGGACGGCCAGCAAAAATACAGAAACCCTGGTCCTGCAACTGGAAGGAACCGAATCCCACCAACAAGCACACAAGCATGGAAGAGGCTCTGAGCTTCAGGAAGGAGCGCAGCCTGGATGACAGGATCGCAGCCTTGCGAGACCCCGAGCAGAGGACCCAGCTAAGCCGCACGCGGACTCCCGACCCGCAGAGACTGAGAGATGATAAACGTGTGTTGCTGAGTCTGCAGCGATTTGTCCCACAGCAGTAGAGAGCTAGCACGAGAGACCACACCCCAGCCCGGGAGACTCCGTGCCTTGGGGATCGGAGAGAGGCAGGAGGGAGGGCTGAGCCCCACCTTCCTCCCCTACCTTGTGGGGGGCTTCACAGGCCACGGTGCCCAGGCCTCTCATTGCCATGCAACGCTTTTTAGCACTGGGGTCCCGGGCTCTTTCTGCCAAGATGAAAAACACATTCTTCAGAGGGTCCCGCTTCTGGAATCTCAGTTTCCTGGAGACCTGGGCGGTAGGTCAAACGTGGATGAATGTGAGCGTGCTCAGAGTCACAGGCAGCCCCAGCCCAGCCCCTCCCTCTAAAGCAAACCCCGTGATCGCCTGCTCCATTGTACCCCTCTTTCTCCAATTAAGGATGCCTGATTTTTGTTGGAAATGTAGTAGTCTGATCTATTTAATGAAGAAATTGAAGGAGGAAGAGGAAATGGGGGAAGAAATTTAGTGCAGGGCTGGTGCGGGGGTAGGTTTGGGGGTTTTAGGGAGAGAGGCCCTAAAGCAGCGTGGGTGTGACAGAAGGTGAAAGAAAGGGGACTTCATAGGTGTTGACGTGAGCTGGGAATATGGGTCCATTTCACAGTAAGAGGTGGGCTGTCATTCCTCCCATCGCAAAGAGAAGAATTCCCTTTACCCCTCTTCTTCCTCCAGTTCTCCCCATTTTTCTGCTCTGGTTTGTGACCAGACACCTTGAAACACACGTCTATACTCGCTCTCTCCAATTCCTCTCCTCCCTTGTCTCTGACGGCTGATGGCCCTCCAGATGGCTAATCCCAAGGGTCAGTTTCAATAGTCATCTTACTCAGCCTCTCAATAGAACTTGACACCCTCACCCTACTGCACATAGCTAGTACACGTCTACAACCACTTTGAAGGCTGTCCCAACCCCAGAATGCAGGTATCTATCTGAGCAACTAAGATTAGGAAGAGAAATGCATAAATAATGCAAACTGGGAAACACTGTGCCTCGCAGAAACCTGTACTTCAAGGACTAAACTCTAAGTAACTGCAGGGCCAGGGAGGGGGCAAGATATGGGCGACCCTCAGTGGTCAGCCTGGGAGCTCTGGTGCCAGGAAGGCCCCCGGTGTGCTGCAGATGCAGAACATGGTGACATGCGCTAGAGTCAGATCAAGGTGGTGGGAGATCCAGACAAGATCGAAGACAATAGCCACCTCCCCGCCATCCTTGGAAAGGGGGATGGGAGGAGATCAGATCCAGCTGTCTCCATAGCGCTACCCGTGAGATTTGGTCCTATCCAAGCCTCATTGTTATTTCTGAATATTCGTCGCAATTCTTTCGATGCATTTATCGTTATGTTAGCAGCAAGCTACATTCTTCTCAACTCATCTTCTTGCCATCCTATGAACATTCTATTCATGTCATCAAAGAACTGTCATCAAATTTTTTTTCAGAAGAAGGAATCTCAGTGGGGCAGGCCTAACTAACCACAGACCAGACAAGCACATATCTTACAGAACAGCCACTGGGAAGGGACATTTGTTCCTAATAGTTTGTGTCAGACCTTGGAAAATAAAGATAGCACCGATATCCTTTTCCTCTTGGGCTGGGAAGGAGGGATGGAGTGGGGCTGGCCCAGGATTCTCCTCTGTGTTTGGTCCATGGAACTTAAAGAAAAAAAAATCATCCTATGAGTCACAAACACTCATCATCGACAAACATTGTTGAACAGAGCACTGCGCCAGGGTAAAGAGAGAAAGAGGCAACAATCCTCAGGCCTGTCTTTAGGACCCTTTCCCCTTGGGAAGGAGATAAATAGCAACTCGAGGCAGCCCAAAAGGAATAGGAGCCCCAGGGGTAAGGGGGTCCATCCTCCAGCTCCCCACTCCACTCTGTGGACTTCTTGGATCACAATCACCAAAGAAGTAAAATACAGATTCCCAGGCCCCACGCACAGAGCCCTCATGAATTGAAATATAGAGTAGCCTCCAATTTTTTGCTTTTTAAAGCTCCCCAAGAATGTAAATTGGTACTAATTTTCAGAGGGGACTTTGGTACTATCTCTTACCATTTTAAGAGGCACATACTCTTTCACTCGGCAATTTGTTAATCCTACAGACGTCATATGCTCAGAGACATGCACAAAGGATAGCCACCACATAATTGTAATGAACAGCATAATGTTCTTTAATGGTTGTAATAAAAATAAATCACATATATATTACAACTGTACAACTACAGGGTGACTATTACGCAGTCACTAAAAAGAATACTGGCAGGTCAACAGTTGCTAAAATGACCTCTAAAATATACTATTGAGTGAAAAGTGCAAATCAGTGTGTACAGCATATTGCCATTTATGTAAAATCAAAATGGGGCAGGTTGAGCTGGGTGTGGCAGGTCACACCTGTAATCACAGGTACTCAAGAGGCTGAGGCAGGAGGATCACTTGAACCTAGGAGTTTGAGACCAGCCTGGGCAATATAGCGAGAACCCATCTCAAAAAAAATACATTGAAAAGAAAAAATGAGGGAAGGAAATACATATATGCATAGAACAGGGGAAAATACCCAAGAAACTCTGAGAAAGAGATTGCCTCTGGAGTGGAAATCCGAGAAACTGAGGGGGAAGGGAGACTTCCTTTTTTGACTTTTTTTATACACATACGGTTTGTAATGTTACCATGTGCATATATTATTCAAAGTATATAATATAAATAAATGTAGCTCGCCAAGTGATTCCAATCCACAGCCTGATTTGGGGCCCACTAGGATAAACCAGCATTTCTCAAACTTTAATGTGTGCTGGAAACATCTGAGGATCTTGTTCAAACGTAGGTTCTGGCTCAGTGGGTCTGAGGTGGGAGCTCCAGGTTCTGCCTTTCTTCCAAGCTCCCAGGGGATGCCAGTGCTGCTGGCCCAGGGACCACGCTTTGAGTGGTGAGGGCATCAAGTTCAGGGCTACAGGAGTAGAGAGAGGACTGTGGGCTGGAACAGCTGGTGGAGACCTCCCACAGCACGTTGGGAGGCAGAGTGTACATGACACGGTGGGATTTCAGCGGGGTTCCGTGTAGTTAGTATCATGGTAGTGGGAGTAATCATTATTCAAACAGCAGGAGAGAGGTAGAAGATGGGCTGCAGGAGCTAGTGACAGGCCAGCCCTAGGTAACTTGACCACTAAAGAGCTCGATTTCAATTGTATTTTGTAGATATGAGGGAACTGTTGTTTTTTTTTTTTTTTTTTTTTTTTTGAGACAGAGTCTGACTGTGTTGCCCGGGCTAGAGTGCCGTGGCATCAGCCTAGCTCACAGCAACCTCAAACTCCTGGGCTCAAGGGATTCTCCTGCCTCAGCATCCCGAGGAGCTGGAACTACAGGCACACGCCACCATGCCCGGCTAATTTTTTCTATATATATATTTTTAGTTGTCCAATTAATTTCTTTCTATTTTTAATAGAGACGAGGTCTCGCTCTTGCTCAGGCTGGTTTCGAACTCCTGAGCTCAAACAATCCGCCCGCCTAGGCCTCCCAGAGAGCTAGGATTACAGGCGTGAGCCACCGCGACCGGCCTGTTGATGTTTTTTAATTGAGGTGAAATCCATGTAACTCATAATTAACCATTTGAACAATGTTGTGCAACCACCACCTCTATTCTAGTCCCAAACTCTTTCATCACCCCAAAAAAGAACCCTGTACCCATTAAGCATTCACTCCCCATCTCATCCTTCCCCCAGCCTTTGGCATCATTAATCTGCCATCTCTACCGATTTACCTATTCTGAATATTTTATATATATGGAATCATACAATACTGTGACTATTTGTATCTGGCTTCTTTCTCTTAGCATGTTTTTCAGGTTCATCCATGCTGTAGCATGTATCAGTTTTCCACAGTGGCTGCACCATCTTACGTTCCCACTGTTATGTACGAGGGTTCCGATTTCTCCCCATCATCACCAACATTTGTTATTTTCCATGATTTTTGTTATCATTATATCCATCTTCGTAGGTATGGAGTGGTATGTCATTGTGGTTTTGATTTGCATTTCCCTAATGACTAATGACATTAATCATCTTTCTGTGTGCTTGTCGGTGATTTATATACCTTCTTTGGAGAAATTTCTATTCAGCTCCTTTCCCCATTTTTTAAATTGGGTTATCTGTTTTTTTGTTTTGTTTTGTTTTTATTTCAGCATATTATGGGGGTACAGATGTTTAGGTTACATATGTTGCCCTTGCCCCTCTCCCCCCCTAAGTCCGAGGGGTTATCTGTTTTTGAATTAGATGAATTCTTTATGTATTTTGAATTCCAGATCCTTACAGATATATGATTTAAAAATATTTTCTCCTTTTCTATGGGCTTTTTACTTTCTTGATAGTGTCCTTTCATGCACAAAATTTTTTACTTTTGAAGTCCAATTTGTCTATTTAGTTGTTGTTGTTGTTACTCATGCTTTCAGTGTTATGTCTAAGAATCTATTGCCAAACCCTAGGTCATGAAATTTACCCCTACGCTTATATTTAGGTCATTGATCTGTTCTGAGTTAATTTTTGTATATAATGTGTGGTAGAGGTTCACCTTCATTAGAACCATTGACTTTTGTGTGTTTGTGTTTTTATATTTTTTTAATAGGAGAAATGACAGGCAAGTAGTTGCAGTGGTTTGCAACCCTGGATGCATTAGAATCACCCGAGAGACTTTTAAACATCCCAGGGCCCTGGCCGCACCCAGACTAGGTCTACCATCATCTCTGGAGGTGGACCCAGGCATCAGTATTCTTTTAAGGCTCAGCAAGCGATTCCAACTGGCAGTCACCGAACTAGGGTGACCAGTGACCGACTGCCTTGGTTTGCCCAGTGCTGAGGAGTTTCCTGGGACATGGCGCTTTCGGTGCTAAGGTCCTGGACAAACTGGGACATGTCCCTATCCGATAGAACCTGGCCCTCTTAAACTGTGCTTTGGAACACTGGACTCAGGGTGACCCAGAGGTGCGTGGGGATTTGGTTTCCCTGCCATCTTTGTCCCACAGGTGGTTTCAGTCATCCTCTCTTGGTAAGAAGACACCAGAGAGGTCCCTGAAAACACCACCTCTTCAACCCCTAACTCCAGTAGCTACTTGTCCTTCATCTCTGGCCAACAGAAATCCCCTCACCACAGCGATGAGAGACCAAAGTAAAAACCCAGAAAACTGAACCTCAGTCAATTAGCAAGAGTTTCTCTTTACATCAGTCACCTGGCTGATCCAAGATTCTCTTTGACTCAAGACATTCCCAGAGTCTTTACAATTAAGCCAGTGGTTCCCACACTTGAGTGTGCATCAGAATCACCTGGCAGACGTGTGAAAACACAGCCTCCCAGGCACGATCCCCAGAGTTTCTGATTCTGTGCGTCTGGAGCGGGGCCTAATCATTTCTAACAAACTCCCAGGTGACACTGGGATGCGGCCAGTTTGGGGACCACACTTTGAGAACCACTGTATTAACCAAAAGAAACCACAGCATTACAATGTCATTTCTCTGCAGGAAAAAGGATTTTAAAATTCACACTGAGGCAAAAAACATGCTTGGTTGTTTCTTTCTGGGGCTTTTCTTACGTTTCAATAGAACCTGCCACTTCTAGAATGCTCTGGATCAGAACTGACAGTGCCTGGCTGTGGGTACGGGTAGCTTAAAAGAAGCAAAACTCCCTCAAGCTGAGGACCTGTGACCAAGGAGAGCACAGGCCTCATTATGAAGCAGCTGGTGTTTCTGTTCCAAGGCAAAAGAAAATCATGCCTGAAGCTTCTCTCTGTTGGGAAGGAAAATAAACCTGCTACCCTGTTCTTTCTGCTTGACTTCTCTTGCAAGATTAGCATAACAGCTAAGGGCTTTAGCCATCCCAGGCAGCTCCCCCAGCCTTCAGAAACCGAGCAGCCAGCCCAGTCGTAATAGGCATGAGTAGAATTTAAGGTCCTGGGAGGCTCTCAAGCAGGGCAAAGCCAACGCGAGTTGAGCGGCTCCGCCTGGAAGATTCAGTATGTGGTTAGAGACACACACGCGGTTCCATCTCAAGCTCACTGCCTCTTCTAGAAAACCCTTCCCTACCTCTCCATCACAGGATAAAAACTGTGATCTAGTTTCATCTCACAGGGTGTCAGGGCTCATCTCGATCTTTGGTGCAGGACAGCAAAGCATTTCCCACAGTGTTCGCTGCATTCCTATGTCCGAATCCCCTGGGGTGCTTATTATCAACGCCGGGCCCACCCCAGAATTATTGGATCCGAATCTCAGGGCGTGCCAGGCCTGCACATTGCACTTTTGTACAAGGTGCACCTGGTGATGCTACACATACGCTGGTTTATAAGGATCTCCGCCCTGGAAATTAAATAATCCCAGAATTGGCATATTCCACTAAGCTGCAACCGTGCATCAGGAGAGAGCCTGGAGGTCAGAGGAGGAGCTGGGGCCAAGGGGCGAGGAAGAAAAGGATGGCAGTGTCTGCAGGGAGCAAGGAATTGATGCCATATGTTTGTGAAGCACTTTGAATTTCACTTTCAAAATAAAATCGCAGCAAGCTGTGTGTCTGTGACTCGTGCACTTTTCCGGGATGCTATTCTTAAAAAGTTTCCTTTAAGAATAAAACAAATTAGGGGTTAAATCAACGTCACAATGCCCCTCACCTGGAGCTTCGCATCTCTTGAGCGTGCAGCTTCTTTTTTTTTTTTTTTTTTGAGACAGAGTCTCACTCTTTTGCGTGGGCTAGAGTGAGTGCCATGGCATCAGCCTAGCTCACAGCAACCTCAAACTCCTGGGCTCAAGCGATCCTTCTGCCTCAGCCTCCCGAGTAGCTGGGACGACAGGCATGCGCCACCATGCCCAGCTAATTTTTTTCTATATATTTTTAGTTGTCTGACAAATTTCTTTCTATTTTTAGTAGAGATGGGGTCTCACTCTTGCTTTTGAACTCCTGAGCTCAAACAATCCGCCTGCCTCGCCTCCCAGAGTGCTAGGATTACAGGCGTGAACCACCGCGCCCGGCCCGGAGCGTGCAGCTTCTTAAAGGACTCCCACCACCCACACCACCTCCGTCCTGCCTGCAGGGCCTCCCCACTTCCTTTGCAAAAGGTAAGTCCAATCGAAACAAAAGGATCATTTCCATCTGCTGCCACACAGGATCCAAGCGAGGAAACTTAAACACACTACAACAAACATAGTATACAGATTCGAAGATTTCTCAGGTGTTCTAACTCCTCCCACAAGCCCACTCACCTCCAAACAGCTGTTCTCTCCTGCTAGAGTTATATTTTTCTGGTGGGTTTCCATGGTCATCACGGGTGCCTAGCCTAGTGTGGCCAAGGCTACCTTGAAATCAAAGACATGGCTTTGCTTGTAGTTTTGGTGATTCCTGTGCACACTCGTCAGTGAATTCTTCTTCTGGGAAGTGCTTCCTGAGCCAGCTAAACCCAGAGCCCCTATTTTCACCATCCCCAAGACCCTGAAGCTTATCTGTTTGTTGTTGTGTTGTGGTTCTGCCTGGTCTTACCAAAGCGACATGGATTTGGGGTAACTTAGAAGCCTGTTGCATGCTTTGTGCTGATGTAAATCCTTCTGAGTCAAAATGCTAGGTTTATGGTCAATAAACCTCTTAATTATTGAAGCCAAAAGGTATATTATGAAAGCCAAAATTACAAAACACTTTGATCATCTCTTCTGGAAAGTGAGCAGAAGAAACTGTTTCATTGCTGTGTGGATAGTGAAAGTTTGAGAAAAGTCTCGATAATCTGAAATGATTTTTGGAATTGGAAGGATTCTATAGAAACTGACTTTACAAGGGTCTTCCCAAGTGTCTAAGTTCTCACTACATTTAAAGAAACCAAAATTAGAACCCATAAAGTATTATGCATGTGGTTTATTCGAGAAAGCTCAAAAAAAGCCAACTAGTGGATCCATATTCTAAAAAGAAAGCTATAGGCCCACATTTAAGACTGAGAAATGTTATATTTTAAGGTAAAATACTTGAGGTATGTATCATTTTCGATTCTCTGCTTTAACCAGCTTCTTTCGTTAACTCTCTAAAACCTAGTTCCAATCTCTCAAATAAGAGAGTTTCACTATATTTCATTTGATCTTCACAATAACCTTGAGGTTTAACTGTCCTCATTTTAGAGAAGAAGAAACTGGGGCTTAGAGTAATGTTAAACAATTCACCCAAAGTCCAATCGTCGTGGCGGAGCGGATTTCAAGACTCCAAAAGCTATACTTCCAATCACCATGGTATAAGCCAATATTCAGCTCCTGGACAATGTCCCGTGTGCAGAACAAGGGAAGATAGACTGTGAGATGCTTCAGTTTGAAGCATCAATATCTTCCCTTCAGTCCCTCCCTTCCTAAAGCCCTTGGCTGACAATATAATGATCTATAACCCATCTATTGATCAATTAACACAGTCTGTGGTCAACATTGCCCACTTCAGTTTTACAAGGAGAACATCACTAGATAGCGACACCCTTAGGATTCAACTCCCTCTGATAGCGGGACTTCTCCCGCCAGTCTGGGCCGGCCCCACCAGCGGTGTCCCTTACCTGCGGCTCCTGCCGGTGGCTGTCACGTGACGAGCGGCTGTGGGTGGCGCTGAAGTCGGGTCCTGGGCGACTCGGGAGGGGGGTGCTGCTTTCCCGGCTGGCAGCCAAATGTGATGACTCCGCTAAATGCTCCCAGCCCGGAATTCCTAAGATGCGACAAGGGAAATTAGAAGGTGAAGCAGGGTCTGTTTCGGGTCAGCACAGAGTGTTGGAAAGTGAGACTCAAACAACGGGGGAGAATCAAAGTTTATAGGCATTGGGGTGGGGGAGGGAATTGTCCTGGAACGACACCGACAGGGTTGCTGTAGGCGGGCCCAAGCATCAGTTGTGCCCTTTGCTTCCCCTCACTGTGCCAAGGTGTTTTTCCCTCTCCCCCTTGCTGTGGTCTGCCTTCACTCTTCCGTCCTGTCAATGTCACTCACACTTTCTGCAGAAAGGGCGGCGATCCTGCACCAAACGAGACGGCCCTGCCCAGCGCCGTTCCCGCTGCCGCCGCTAGATGGCGGCATCGCCCAGTGGACGGGGTCCAGGCGGCCTCCGCGCAGAGCCGCAGCTGGGCGGCTTCCGTCCTTGCATAACCCCGTCAGGGCGCGTTTAATCTGAGGATGGGACGCGGTGTTCCTTGCCAAGCAGCCTCATTGTGACTGATTGTTGCACCAACAACTAGAGCTTTAACTGTTGACGCCCCTTCCCGCTCAACAAACACCGTATGTCCGGAAAGGAGCGATTCAAACTCTCAACAATTTAACTGATATATTGGTAAAAACGAAACAAAATTAAAACCTGGGTATTACAGCACCTGCAGAATTTAGGAGCCTCCCTTCCCTGCTTCATTCCTTCTTCCCTGGGCTCCACGATCATGTGCATAAACCTATTTATCAATAATTATTGATCGTCTGGCTTTGTGTTGGGTAATGTGGGCAATATGTCTTAAAAGAAGAAAAACAGTTATGTTTTCAAAGATCTAGGAGCTTACTGTTGTGCTAATAGATAACATCTAATGAAAACTTCTATGTGCCAAACATTGGGGTAAATATATAGACTATCTCATTCAATTCTTACAGCAAACCCAAGGTAAATACTCTTACTATAGTCCCCATTTTAAGGCTGGGGAAACTGAGGCACAGAGAGATTACCTTCACAAAGGCCATGCCGTTAATTAGTGGCAGAGCTAGAATTAACTACATGCAGGCTGACGTTAGAGCTTGGACTCTCGGCCACGGTGCTGTGCAGTGGATCAGTTTGGAAAACCCAGTTAGGAGACAGGTGGACAGACATAAACCAGGGAGCGATGTCAGAGCGGAGGGTGAAAGAAAAAAGTGGAGGGAAAGAAAATCGATGCTCCTGAGAAAATAAGAAGAATGAGGCTAAAACAAAACCCTCTTTGGATTGGGCTACAAGGGCACCACTGTTGACTTTTGAGGATAGAATTTCAATCGAGTGGTGGAGAAAGGAAGCTAGATTGCAAAACTAAGGGGCTATGAGGAAAGAGGAAATTGAGATGTCTTGTTGCCTCAGAAGGAAAGCAATAAATAGACTAGAAGAGACGGTAACGTCGAGCAAAGGCAAAATTTTGGTTTTCTTGTGTGCTTTTGAAAATGGAATAAATCCTGGGCATGTTTGCAAGCAGTTGCAAGGGAGCCCTAAGATGTGGGTGGTGCCAAGTAGTGGCAGGGTAATAGGAAGAGGTGGAGGGGAAGGTCAAGGGCACAGGCAAAGGGTTAGCTCCGGAGAGGAGGAAGAGAGATTCCCTCTTTGTGCATAGCCGGGAGACAGCCACAGAGATGGAGATGCATCGCCATGAAAATAAGAGGGATGAGCGAGTCCAATTCTTCTTAATTAGCCTTAATCTTTCCAGTAAAACCAGAAACGTGTTATCTGCTAAGAATGGGAATAAGGTTTGTAAGGACATAGCCTGCATACTGATCTAATCCATGTGTGCTTAGAATGACCAAAGAGCAGATCAAATTATACAAGGAACAGAGGACACTGGAGAAGGGAAGTCTGAAGTACAATCGTAAGGATTCTCTGCAAAATCTCACTTGGGAACCAGAACTGAAATTTACTCCACCCCTGCATGGACAGAAACACAACAGGCACACTATTAATGACTCTTTATGTCGAAAAGTTTCTTTGTATTCAAGTTTCAAGACATTTATCAGAGAAATAGCATCTTCTCCATTGCTAAATGGGAGGACTAAAGTGCAGAGAAGTTTTCTTATTTGGCTTAAAGCTGCAAAGAAAATCAGGGCCAGAACCAAGATTGGTACCCAGGAGCCTTTCTGGTACTTGCAGTGGTCTGACTTCAGCTCTATTCAGTGCTTCTCACAAAGGCGGTGGACACAACTAACAGCTCCAGAGAGGCCCAGACACAGCACAAACTTGGGAAGAGCCCAAATCAAGGCATGATGCCCGTGGGAATCCAAAATTCTCCATATGTGGACCTAGGCCACAGCACAGTTCTGGGAATTAGAGGGAAAGGTTCTTTGATAATTTGATTGCGATAGATTGATAAACTGATGACAGGATGTCCTTAAAATAACACACCATAATTATTTAATTTAAGAGTTTAATGATTCTGTTTTCCTTATTGCCAGTAGTACAATAGGGCTAAGACAACTAGAAAAAAGCAAAGAGGGTGATTATTTAGCCGGCATCACTGATGAAAAGGACAACAGGCAAACTAAAGCCATCAACAATTCGTTTTCCATTTCGACTTGGGAAGTAAGGACAAATGAGAGTTGCCCATCAAACGGTTCCCCTTCCATTTCAGGGTTTTCACAAGCACCTCCTCGTGTGCATGTGCATTGTCTAATCAGGAAACGTCAGGATTTAAGTTTCCTCCCTCTCATCTTCTTTCAGGAAATACCCCCAAGCTAGTCCAAACCCTCTCTTGATTTTCACTTCTAAAAAGAAGTAAGATCCGCCACCTCCTCAGTCACAGATTGGGAACACCAACTTCTCATTCATTCATTCTTCGTTCTTCAAGTGTTTATTGAGGCCTTACTTCCAGCAACGGAAGCAGAGTGCCCAGCAGAGGGGACCAATACTCAGACTGTGCCCTGAAAAAAAAACCATCCAGTAGTGGATTTGGGACTCGGCCTTCTGTGTCCATTTGGCAAGGAAGGAGTTGATCAGAGCCACAGAGAGGAGTTGGTAAGGAGCCCTGGGAGTCACAGGGCAGTCACCTAGGAGATTCTTTGTAAAGGAAGGAGCATGTGCACCTGGCTGGTGGAAACCATTCAGCACGGAGAGACAGAGGACAAAGGCATCCCAGAAGACAGGCCTGGTGTGAAGATGGAGGCAGTTAGGCCATGACCAGCGGCCTGACTCTGGCCGAGCCACGTCACCTGGTGCTCTCCAAACTCCTCCGCAATCCACCTGCACCGATGGCAAAGCTACCTGCGGTAAGCAGACATCCTTGGGAGGCTCCTCTCAAACTTCATGCCATAGTCGTTTCCCACTACTCTACATGTGTGTTTGTTTTAATATGAAAGCAATGGTCTTTTTGCTTTAAATGTTCGAATGAAATAGATGGTGCAGGAAGAAGCATGGGGTTTATCCCTCAGCTTCAAATAGCCTCTGGCACATGAAAGCAGAAGCCCCATGTGGCCTTGGTTTCCTCTTGCCCAGATGCAATTATACAAACTCTGAACAGAAGGCTGCTCTCAGCAGTTTCCGACCCACCATGTGGCTGTTCTGCCGTCCATCTTCCTGACTTTATTACCCGATAGTCATTATTAGTACCAGAACGCAAGAAAAAGTTGAAGCTCTTCCGGTGACCTCTTGGCCTGCGGTGATCTCTGAAAATGGTTCAGATACTCACTCGACCCAGAAAACCCCACCAAATCATGGAAACCAAGAGGTTCAAGTCTTCTTGCTCCTTTTAAGAACACCTGTGAAACTGCCCAGACCATCAAGTGATGCTTATTCTAAAAGCCACCACGTATCTGAAAGATGTCACTTTACAGGAACAGTGTGTGCCATTCCGTCATTACCACGGTGGAGTTGGTAGATGTGCCCAGGCCAGAGAGTGGGGCTGGACACAGGGTCGGTGGCCCAAAAAAGTGCTGAGTTTTTGCAGTACATGCTTAAAAATACAGAGAGTGTTGCTGAACTTAAAGGTTGAGGTGTAGACTCTTGGATCACTGAGCACATCCAGATGAACAGAGCCCCCAGGATGTGCACTGTGCTTAAACAGAGCTCGTGGTCACATTAACCCACGCAAAAGCTCCCCCATCACATCCAGATGATACTCACTGAAAGGAACAAATCTTTCCTAAGCCAGAATTGGAGGGGGCTGCACAGAAAAAGATATCCCAGAAGAAACTGAAGAAAGGGCGGCGATCCTGCACCAAACGAGACGGCCCTGCCCAGCGCCGTTCAACAAACAACAACATATGGCCCAGGAATACTAAATCCAGCATAAAATAAATGCAAACAATAGTTTTCTTAAAAAAAGACTAAGCTTAAACACCTTTTCTACCTGAGACATTAATCACCCCCATATCATTACCTATACCCCTACTTCCAAAAAGTAATCATGAATTTATGTAAACATTTTCCAGCCAAACTGGTTCTATCTATAGCGATCAATCAACTGCGTTGAACTACAATGTTTAACGGAATCAGTTGAATCCAGAAAATGTTCTGTGCTGTCCTACCTGAGCTAGGTACCGCAGAGCACAGCAAGGCCGGCCTCCCCCTCCGTGCTCGTCCTGATGAAAGGCGAATGTAGATAACTCCAGGCACGTCTCTGTCCTTTAAACAAGCTTGTGGCTGACAATAAGCTACATTTTGTCCTTGAAGATGAAACATAGAATAGATCAGCTTTATCACAAGAGAGAAACACACAATAAGACCTTTTTAGGTCATCTGCCCTGGTAATGGCTAGTGATACATTCTAAGTCACGCAGTTTTCAGACTTTTAAGATTCTCACGTTTCATTTCCCATTTCTGCAAGTGCCCAGAGAAAGTGACGCTGCTTTATTGTGGAAGAGAACTGGGTCAGTGGGCAGCACCAGGAG